TCGCCTGCTCCGGCGGCGGCCAGCCCCAGGCTGGGCCCTGGCAGGAGTCTTTGATCTGGGTGCATTCCATACTGAGAGCCATGGCTCATGAGGGACAGGTCGTGGCGGCGGTAGGCATCGAGGCAGCCCAGCTCCCGCCTCTGTTCGTCCAGGCAGGACGACTTGAGCGCCCGCGCATTGTGCAGGTTAATAAAGTCGGTGGGCTCCCCGTGGTGGATCTGCTGGTAGTACTGTTGCGAGTGGTGGAGCGAGTTCAGAGAGTAGGCGTCGGGGGTGACGGCCGGGTGGCTGTGCTGAAACTCGTAATGGAAAGACTGGTGGTGGAGCGGGGTGTACTGGTGGTTAGTGGAGAAGTAGGGGGACGCAAACTCGGTGCCGGTGGTGGAGTAAGTTAAAGGAGAGGAGGAGGAATAGGCGACAGTGGAATTGGCTACGGACTCCAGACAGCCAAGCTGCATCAAACGGTAGCTGTTTGATCCGTCGTGACGTATCTGGAAGGAAGAGGGGGAAAAGGGAGAGCAGAAAAACTTGAGGTTTGTCATTTTGCAACCAAGGCGCCGCTCTCCCAGAGCCAGGAGCTTTCTCTGGCTCTCCAAGGAGACTCAGCTCCTTTGCCAGAGAGCCTGAGCGAACTGGGGGTGGGCGGCCTCGTCCTCACAGTCGAGAGAGAGGGAAAAAAATCCCCCACCCTATATAGGTGCGGGTGACACCACACACGCACACACGCGCGCGCACACACACACTCTCACACACACACTCACAGCCCCTGCCCAACTTGTGCAGGGAACTGGGCGTTGGAAGCTGGGTTTGCAACTGACTCCGGGGCCGCGGGGAGTACAAGCGGAGTCCACACGCGGAGCGCGCTGGCCCGCGCCTCGCCACTCCAAACAGATCCCAACATTGAGATTCCGCGCCGGTCCTGGCCGACCTGTTCCGCCCGAGCTGCTCAAAATCATTGTCCACATATTTTTAAAAAATCCAGTTTGTGCAAATCGTTCAACTTCATCACTCTGGGGGAGGGAATCCGACCCCCCTTTTCTGTTTCTTTTTCCTTGAATAAGCCCATTCCAAAAGGGGTGCGTTGTTCTCCACCCCCTTGTCCACCTACCGCCCCCCATCAGCCCCTTTTCTCTGCCGTTTGGAGAATCTTTTCCCGTCTCTGTCTCTTTCTCCTCACCCCCCTTCTTTATTATTAGGATTATGTTTTCCCCCTCATTACGGCAAATGTTTCCTAACGTGGCAGAGTTGCCCTTCCTGGCGACAGATGTCATAACGAACTTTCTCCCCTTTCCTTCCTTAACTTCCCCCGAAAGCCAGATTATAATTAAACGCAACGGTCCAATATAGATTAGAGACAGGGGAAGCTGCCACCGCCGCCGCCACCACCGCCGCCGCCACCACACACACGCGCGCTCAAGATAAAAAAAAAAGTAATAATACCTCGGCATCGTGGACTAGTCCCGGAAAGGTAGTTGACATGTTGGGTTTCTCCGAAAGCTTACGATGCAATTTCCCCCTCCAAAAAAAGAATCGGGAAAAAAATCCAAACTTCTTGTATTTTCCAATTTTTTTTAAGGAAAAAAAAATGTTCTATAGATAGAGATCTAAATTGTAATGGTTTTGCCCGGATCAGATAGCTCCTTGCCTCGTACCCACTTAAAAACCTGTAGGAACAAAATTTTCCCTCTGCACAAAAGCAGCTCCCTGGAACAGATTTTGTACTTGCTGAGTATTTCTTTGGCTGATGTCGTAGGTCCCTTGGTAATATAGAAGTTTTGAAAATTAAGCATCAGCACTGAGAACTGGGAGGACAATAGGCAGAAGAGATTTATCCCAGGAGACAAGGAATAAATATTGTATCTTCGCCTAATAAGGAACTGGAGGTTCTTTCAACATTTTTATCCATTTTTTCCAACCTTTATCGTGCTTTTCTATACCGACTGAGGTGGGGACTCATCTCTGCGGAGAGCATTTGAACACATTTTATTGTGAAGATAGAGGTCTAGCCCCAATATGTGTATATTAGAGGTAGAAATATATATTAATTAAAGCTTCCTTTTACATGGGTAAGTGTTCATTCCTATTGGTTCCACTCCCTGGATGCTGAAAGCTGCTTTTTCCAACAAGCACCCGAATCAATTTTGCCCAGATTTGGGTGTCTGCTTTTGCTTTTGCCCAAGTGGGAACAATACTGCTCATTTCATATTTACATCAAATTGGGGTTCTTTCCCCCTTTCTGAAAGGCAATATCATGCAGCGACTTACACTTTTTAGCATCTTTTAAAAGAAATAATGTGATGGACAGTCCCAAGTTTCCACCATAAAGAAATGGTATAACTGGCAATGTATTTCTACATTTAGGTAAAATGTTGTCTTTCCCTCCTCAACCCAACCCATTTTCCCCCTCTTTTGTGTTTTTCTTCATCCCTTTCAGAAACTGCAGGTCGGGGTGGGGGTGTGGGTGGAGGTGTAGACTATTTAGCAGTGGCACCAGGTGTTTGAACATCATTACCCCCGAAATAACCCTTAACTGTTTGGAAGGTGTATTTTACAAAGAACCGCATGAAGGAGGCAGTGCACACCTATCTCCATTTCTTCGTGGATTCCTTGACTTTCGAACAGTTTTTTGAGCTTACTTCGTTCAAAATTCAGCCTTCTCTACCTGCCCAGAGGGGGTGGTGGTGGCTACAAGCCCACAATACTGAGGTTTTGTAAGTCCAATCTCCAACCCTGTCTATTTCATAAGAACTGGCTGGCCCCACAGACTCATCTTAGAGATAGAAGGGGTAATTCAGTCTTAATTGCCATTTCATTTGGTTCACTTTTAAGTGTTTAAGCTGAGAAGGTGTCTTAATAATAAGCCGCAGGCAAACAGGCATGTGGCTTTTTTTTTTTTTTTTTAGGCCAGGGTTTAGGAGAGTTTATTAGGATCTGCTCATGCAGGCTAACTGGGGCTGTCACTCAGCGCTCTCTGCTTTATACAAATGGACAAAGGCACACGACAAGAATTGAAATGCATTGTCTGAAATGGAGATCCACGATGCTTCAGCCCAGCACAGGGGTCAGCAGTGAACATTTGCTCCCTATTTCAAGATGCGCCTGTGCCACCCCCTCCCCCTTCTTAAAATTCCATATTTTGGTCTAATGAAGTCAGGAAACTGAGAGCCCAATGAAGATGAATAGGAAAAACGTCCAACTTGATCTTTAGTAGGAGGGGTCAGATGAGTGCTTTGGCACTGAGGGACTGAATCCCCAAATGTTTGCAGCACAGTCTTTGTTTGCCAAGTCTGAGCCTGGCCTCCACACCTTACCTACAGAGGAAAGAAATCATCTCATTATCTGTGGGGCTAGGGCCTACTCCCACAACCTTACCCCAGACACTCCCTCCCGCCCCTGAAAAAGTTCAAAGCTTTGCCTAGAAGAATAAGTGGGATGGCAGGTATATCTTGGGAATTGGTCAGACACAGTTTCCCTGGTGGATGATGTTGGCTATTCAGTCCCAACTCTAGTGGGAAAGGATGGCCCCTTGGCAGACAAGCTGTGACTTCCTCTCCAACGCTTCTGTCAGCTACATCTTCATTGAAGGGAAGGAACCTTCTCTTCCCAGATTAAGTTCAAGCAACAGACGCAAAACCCTCTCCCCAGGGAACAACCAGGAGGCTCAAGACCGTGAGCTGCCTGCTCCGCCTGCTGTCCCAGTGGTCCACGTGTTTGTTCCTATCCCGAAGAGCCACCCCCTCCCCCCACC